TATGAAAGAAATAATTCTCAAGGGATGTCTTAAGAAACTATCATTTCTGCCATGCAATTGTGACTCATGCTTGTAAACCTAGCTACTTAGGAGGTGGAGAGCTGAGCATCGCGGTTCATAGCCAACCCGGGCAGAAAAGTCCCTGAGACTCTTACCTCCAATTAACCATCAGAAAACCACAAGTCGCACTGTGGCTCAAAGGAGTAGAGTGTCAGCCTTGAGCAAAAAGACTCAGGGATACTGCCCTTGCATTGAGTTCAATCCCCACAACTTTCAAAAAGAAGAAGAAAGAAACTATCATCTCTTAGACATTAATTATCCTTTATCAGAATCTAGACAATCATGAGTCTTTTAAAAAGGATTGTACTTAGTAGAGATATTAATGACTCTTATTTCTATTTTGAGCACATAGGTAAAAAAGAAAAATGAGAAATTCTAGTTATTGTATGGTAGATCTATAAATCAAATCAATAAGACTCAAATGTACTATTGTTTTCAATCCAATCTCATAAACATAATTCAAATATAATTATCCACACACCAGTGCTTCATGCCTGTAGTCTTAGCTACTCAGGAAGATAAAACCTTGGAACTGTGATTCAAAGCCAGCCCAGGCAGAAAAGTCTAAGAGATCCCATCTCCAATTAAGCAGCAAAGTCCAGATTGAAGGTGTGACTCAAGTAGTAGAGTACCAGAGGTGAACATACAAGCCAAGTGAGTATGAGGGAGGCTGAGTCAGAGCCATAGTATCAACACAGAAAACAATATAATTACTTTAAGTTAATAATTTTATAAATCTATAAAATTATTTTATAAGTTAAAATTTTACATACTTCATAAGTTTATAAATTATATATAATTATTTATAAAAAGTCATGTTTCATGAGTAATTTGTATTATAAAAACAAATCCATAATTTGCAACACCATACCTATCATTTTCTGGAAGATTAAAGACATTTCAGTAATAAAACTCCTTACTTTAGCTTTATGTAAGTGTTCTGTCCACCTATCCCCGTATAACAAACCATTCCAAAACTTATAGTTTAACAATTCCTCTTTCACAGTTCAGTGGGTTGAAAATTTCAGCTGGGCAGGTTTTCCTTGGGCAATCTTCTACGGTTGCAATCAGATAGTAGTAGATTGTGGAATGATCTGAAGGTGTCTTTACTCAAGGTCTGGCACTTGAACTGGGATAGCTAGAACCAGAAACTAGCCAAGCACCTGTCTTCACACATTTTTTTTTAAACCAGGCTAGATTATACTTTCTCATACAATGAAGATTCCTGAGCAACAATTGATGATAGAGGGAAAGCTACAAGGTGTCACTAGTTTCATTATGATTTAATGAGTAGTCACATAGTATCCAAAGATTCAAAGGAGGACAGGAACAGATCCTACCCTCTTGAAGAAAATGGCTTGTGTTTACAAAATAATAATTGACAGAGTTAACTGCCTTTGTAACATCTATTTTTTTGGAGAATATATAAATCCAACTTAATGAAGAGTGATATCACATAAACCTGACTTCCCACAGAAAATGGAGAGCCTGAACAGATTCACAAATCTATTTGATGTATTTTATTTCAAGAACCAAGTATTCAGCCAAGGGATTATGTGCACTCTTGTTGACACAAGTGTTATAGCTTCATTTGGGAACTTGTGGGAATGCAGAATATCAGACTCTATCCCAGACTTATTGAATGAGAACATGCCTAGATACTCATATGGACATTAAAGTTGGAGAGGAACTTAGGCTATAAACTGCTGTATACAAAATACTTTGAAAACTGTAGAAACAGAAATGATATACTCCTTTTTTTCAAGTTTGGAGGCAGAGGGATATTAAATTTTTTTTAAGCCAGTATTGACTTGAACTCCAGGCCTGGGCACTGTCCCTTGGCTTTTTTGCCCAAATGTGGCAATCTGCCACTCGAGCCACACCTCCAGTTCTACCTTTTATGTGGTTAATTGGAGATAAGAGTCTTACAGATTTTCCTCTCCCAGCTGGCTTCAAACCAAGATTTCAGATATCAGCTTCCTACATAATTCAGAATATGGATGTGGGCCATGAACGCCCAACTCTTCACCCTGTTTTTGATGATAAAAGTCAGGAGAGAACATTCAATATGAGATTGCAATAAAATCTCTGATGATTTAAAATTACATGTGTAGGTTAGATCTTGTGGCACATTCTCAAAATTCCAGCATTTGGGATGGTGAGGCAGGAAGATCATAGGGTTCAAGGCCAGTTTGCTCTCTGTTGTGTAATGAGAAAAAGAGAAAGAAAGTGGTGATGGGGACATTCAGAGAGAAGACAAGGAGTGTGGAAGGAAGAGGAAGAAGGAGAAGAAAGGAGGGGGAGGAATGAAGAAGAAGGGAAATAAAAGCTGGGAAGGTGCCTCAGTGGTACAGCGTTTGCCTTGCATGCCTGAGGCCCTGGGTTCGATTCCTCAGCACCACATAAGCAAAAAAAGAGAAAAAAGATGTAAGTGGTGCTGTGGCTCAAGTGGTAGAGCGCTAGCCTTGAGCTGAAGAGCTGAGGGACAGTGCCCAGGCCCAGAGTTCAGGCCCCACGACTGGACCCCCCCGCAAAAGAAGGGAAATAAAGACGAAAAGCTGCGCATATGGAAGGACAGCTTTTCTTCTGGAATAAAAGATCATCACTAGCTGTGTGGGAAAATGTTTATTATATATTATATTTATGTAAATGGCCAAGAAAATTAAGTAAAATAACTTCAAATTAGGTAATAAGTACCTTGATATATACTTAATGATTTCCATGGTAAAAAGTCACTCCTGATGTACTTATGACAGTACAGCATCATGGTTTTTCAAGTACCATTATCTCAAGATAAAATGAGAACAAATTTAAAACAAAAATGTTCATTAAAGAAAAATTAGTTTTTTTAAAGAATATATTCATTTGTGAAAATGTTTCTTCCAAAAATATGTTCAATTCAGTTATAATTTTTGTTAGTTTCATTTTGTCATTCATTTCTGTTACATGTTAACATATAATTAAAATGCCTATAGGAACATTCTTAAAAATACAAAAAAAATTAAAGATTATTTAAATTGCCAGTAATTGCTTTGTCTCATTAAGATCTAGGTTTGTCAGTAAAACTATTACATTAAGTAAACACTAAAAACTAAATTTGCTTCCTCCAAGGCCCCTGATTTTGAAAATGCATGTTGTTTGGCTCTTTTGTTCAGAACTCAGTTGAAAACCTAGCCTCCATTCTAATAACCACTATCACCACAAATTCACTCTTTTCTACTTTTATTGTAGGCTCATTCCATAGGATCTAATCTGAAAACCCTGAAAAGTGATGAAGGCTTCAACAGCTAGTTTCAAGCTTTGTTTCTTTTGGTTTGGATCACTCAAACCATCAATTTTTGTCACCTGATGATTTAAGTCTCCACATATTTTGAACTTTACTTTTATTGTGGAATTCTAAAATCCCTTAAAGACCTATGAGGTCCTTTTTGATCAAGGTATTATCATTGGAATCTAATCTCCATTTACTCTATTCCTGGCACTCAGAATGCATTAGTACCAGCCATTCCTTCTACTCAAAACCCATTTTAAAACATTCTTCTGTAATCATCTCCACTGGTTTCTTCCATAGGTTTCCTCCCCACCCCCAATAATCCAAATGGGTCTCCCTCTCTGTGTCTACAGTACACACTACATAACCATTTCATAACATTTACATTGCAATCATTTTGGTCCCTAAAGAGGCAAGTAGTGTTTCCATTTAACTGTAATTCTCAATAAACACCACTGCATAAAGAAATATATAACTTAAGAGATGGGGAAAGCTCTAGTGATTTTAAATACTGTTTGAGAAATCCGTAACTCCTGACCCCAACTAATTTAATTCATGAAAGTGATCTAGTGTGGAGTGATTTAAATATGGGTAATATTAAGGTAGGCTTAGTTAGAGGGTGTTGGAAATCCTTTTGATGAAAGAGAATTATATAAAATTACATAATATAATAAAAATATAGAAATGATTGTGTACTTGAAGCTCAGGTTCAGCATCTTAACTTCTAAGATGAAGAAATAGGCATCTATCTAGAAACCTAATCAGGGTAAAGACTAAATCCTACTTTCATTATTACTAAGATGGTGACTTTAGTTAAGTCAATAAGAATAATATCAGCAAAAGAAATTAATTGGGATTGTTAGAAGAAAATTGAGATATACAGAGGGAACTTTCATCTAAAGAATGGTTCTTTTGGTGTTAGTTCCACCTTTGGTTCTATCCCAGACCCACAAAATAAGGAACTTTGGGCACAGTGCCTAGCAATCTTTTTAAAAAGTTCCAGGGAATTCTGATGCAACCTCAATTTTGATAACTACTAAGATAGGATTTTAAGAGAAAAAAATGTATTACACTTACATGTAGTCTCTAAGGAAGAATAAAAATTGTGATCCAAAATCCACTAAATAGAAGAAACAAACTCAAAGCAGCAATGATGACAATCCATTGGCATGTTGCTAGCATTGGTGAAAACATTAAAGTAGGCTTTGAAGTTTAAAAAATTTGGTAAAATTATCTAATTTTTTCAGACAGTTTTCATTTGGTTTTGCCATTTTGTTTAATGACACTATCAACTTTTGAAAGGAAAATGTGTTTACTCCAGTAAATCATCTAGACTTCTAGTTTCTTTAAAACTGTTGTTAGTCACTATGTATCTATGAACACTGGTTTATGTAAAATGGACCAAGTCTAAGAATAAGTCTAGTTCATGTTAAGTATTTTGATCAGTACTGGCAGTTTAATTTTCCTGTCAACTCTGGTTGTATTTGTGATAAATTACCTTATTTTGAAAGTGTAGACCCTAATCTAAACTTATATAATGGCTCTTCCCTGCCCTTCCATTTTATGAAACTGAAGGAATTCTGCAAAGATATAATGAAAATTAAAGAGACCAGTCAGTATTTAGAGAGGGAAATAACATTTTTATTTAAGAAACATAGGCTGTGATGGGAAGGATTTCAAATTCTGCAAGTTGAGTCCCAACAACTGAATAAAATGAAAACAAAAATAAGTCCATCTAAACTCAGACCTAACATTTTTTAGCAGGTTAAATATCTAAAACCTCAGACATGGCTTAGTTACTATCCTGACAAAACATTAGTCCAATAGGAGTCTACAGGCCTCATCTCTCCTGTGCTTCGGCAACATCACTGTCTTCACTGTGGATGTTGCCCAGGATAAGATTCCATTATGAGGATTTCAATACCCTTGGCTACCTCCATCCTCAGGGCTAGGGCTTGACTGTCATCATTTACTCTAGTCATTTATCGTATGTGTTGGGACTGCTGCCAGCTTTTGGGGAAGGGGAGGAGAGAGAATGGGGGGAGATAGAGGAGAGAGAATGGGGCAGTTGTAGGTTATGTCAACATGAAGGCCAGCTTGGACCTATGTGGGCTCAAAAAGCCTTCACTTCAACTAGGCCCCTGTTCCAGAAAAAGTGGCCAAATTCACTTGCTTGAGCAGTTTCAGAGTCCCACCAGAAAGCCAGTATAGCCCGAAGGTGATTTGAACAAGCCTTTATTAAAAAGTAGTGTCAAGGAGTATTATATATTCACCTCCCCAGTCCCCAAATACTTTTATTCAGTGCATCCAAATGATTCTTTAGGTCCTACGTCTCATGCTAGGCAGTAGCATAAGAACACTATAAATGCTTAATGTATCTAACTAATAAGTAACAAACTGTTATCATTACTATCAAACTGATTTGGTAGATTTCAGGACTAGATAGAAAAATATGGGCTTTTCCATTTAAGAGACTCTCAAAGAACAAATACTGACTTTTAATAGTTAAATAGACCTCATTTTGATTACAGTTGGTGCAAATATGTAATACAACTTTTCTTACTCTCTTCTTGATGAGCTGTTGTTTTCTCCATTTAACCAGTTGAAAAGGATTACTTCAAGAAAGGTGTCCCATATTTATAGATAGTCATAGAAGAAAAAAGAAAATGCAAAATTTGGTTCATGGGAAATAGAAACTCTGGCAAAAGAAAAGGCTGGGCAAAGGAAGAATTCTGAGTATTACAATTTGTACCTTGTTTGGAGACATTGGGTCCACTATAATGCATCTTACACAACAAATGCATGGTGATGTCTTTTTCTGAAAGGATGCATGTAAAAAAAAGTGATGTTACCCCTAATTTTGTTAAAACTTTGTCTTTCCATGTTCCCAATAAAATTCTGACCTCAAAGACCAAACAATGTAAGAAAGATCAACATCTAAACTATTACTCCCAAGATGGTAGGATTTTAGAAGTTATATTCATTCTTTTCTCAATTTCACCTTACTATTTTCTCCCACTTCCTGTCTCTTTATCTTATTTTAGACAAGATAGACAAGTTCTATTAAGTTCACCAGTTGAGACTGTGTGATGGGAAAGTTCTGAGAACCATCCAAGACAACTACCAAAAGTGCATACTGTTTGTGAGGATAAAATATAAATAGTATATATTGATTTATTGTATTTTTTACAACTTTTGGAGCATTTGCAACATACAAATAAGCCACAGAATAATTATACAAATAAGCCATATACAGACAAATAGGCCAGAGAATAATAATACAAATAAGCCATGATCATTTAACACATGATAATAAAAATGGTATAAAAACTGACTTATTCTTTCATGTTCTCATTGGTTTAAACATATTCTTAAACATATTTAATTAAGAAGTTTCTGGAAGGTATGTTAAATGATGAAAAAATGGACGACCATGAACACACCCTTTAATTTCATTTGCAAACTGATGCTTCATTCTATAGATTGTATTTTTGATGTCCTCTTTTGGTAAGTACATAGGTAGTTGTCTAGATAGACGTACTGCTTCTCCCTGTCAAAGAAAAGTAATACATTTTATCATAATATCCCCAAAGCAAGAAACATAACAACCTAGGAAGAAGTAAGAAAACTGATTACTTATATATTGTTCACTCAATGAAAATGAAGCACCCATTTATTTTTTTTGGTGATATAAAATTAACTTGAAAACAAGATGCTTGCTCCTATGAAAATTGTATTCTAGTGGAAAGGAACAGAAAACATGATAAGAAAAAAAATTATAGTGATTAAATTAGGCAACTTCATAAAGTAATTTGTGGTTCGCAAAGCTTACATTAAGATACAGCATTTTAAAGCTATTTAAATTTACTGTTGTGCAAAGACCATGGACAAAATAAAAGCATTTCAGGCTGAGAGAAAAGAGTTCTGAATGAGTATAGAAGAATTACTAAAGGGAAGAAATGAGCAAGATGAGGAGTAAGGAAGGGGGCACATTACCCTCTAGGACAGTGAACTACTGTCCTCACTTCTAATTTTCAGTGGATGTTGTTTAGAAAAGTATTTACTCAATAGTTTATATCTTTCCCTTTGTCTCCCTTCTGCTATTAAAGAGATTAAGGCTTAGAAGTGTATTACAATTAATTTTAGATAAGGATATGGTATTATAAGTTGAACAACTGGGATCAATTCTAAGAGGCCTACCTACAGAAATTAACTACAAAAAAAAATCTCATCCATGAGTTTCACAACATGTGCCCAAGAAATAATGCTATGGCAAGAAACCATTACAAAATTTACCACCCTAAGTTTATGATGGAGGAAAAAAGGTTTTTGTTTTGTTTTCTACCATTACTGGGGTTTGAACTCAGCGTCTCCAGCTTCTTTGGCTGGCACTCACTTTACCACTCAAGACATGACTCTAATGACTCTAGCCAGTATTTTGCTGGTTACTTTGGAGATGGACTCTCTTAAGACTGGCTATTAGCGAAGATCCTCCAGATCTTAGCCTTCTGAATAACTACAATGACTGACATGAGACAACAGTGTCTGGCTGATATAAAATAATGAATATATTTTTATTATTTTAAGCCATTTATTAAGGTGAAAGCTGAGACACTATTTGAAAAACAAAGCAAAAAAGGGTTGGGGGTACATATATATAGCCTGGTTGGTACAAGTGAAGCTCTGAGTTCAAAACCTATATGGACAAAAATCAAAATAAAATCTAGCTTGCATAATCTAATGATGTGTACCTCTAAATAACTTATCACTTTCCGAGGTCTACATTCATAAATTTCCTTTGCATTTTTGTTTAGTATAGCATCGAGAATTTCTTTTAAATCCGTTACTCCATAGAATGGGAGACAATTAGCAATTCCTTCTATTTCCAAGTGGCTTTCAGTAATGGAAACTCCTAAAAGCAAAAAACACACACAGACATAGTTTAGTTAAAATTATATTCCAGAACATGACCATTAAGAACAAAATCACTGTTAGAACATTCAGTGACTCTTCATGAGGATTTAATAGTCAACACAAAGTTTTGTTTCTTAGTTGGACAACAAAGAATTTCCCATAGGATTTCACATTAAGTCATAAGTGCTCATTGACACCACATGTCCTTTATATAATTTAATTTAATCTCCGTTACAGCTGGTCTGCTCCTTATATTTGCTTACAACATTTCGTACTTTGGAGAGAAAATGAAGTCCCATGATATTTATTAAAATAAAAATGATTTAAGTAGTTTAGCAAACTGCCGCTACACTATTCTATTATCTATTTTAAAGTCCTAGATATTTTTCTGTATTTTAGCTTAAAATTAATAAAAGTAAAAACATAATTTATTAATATGAATTAAATTGAAGGAAGGAAATATTGATATTTTAACAAAATTTCTAGGACAAGCTAAGTTCTAGTGGCTTACAATTACAGTACTAGTTACTTGGAGACTAAAATGGGAATTATCACAGTTTTTCAACACAGGCAGAAAAATTTATCTCAACCCATAACTAGGTATAAGTGGCAGACATTTACCATCCTAAACTACATGGCGGGGGGGGGGAGCGGGGGGTGTTATTGGAGGATTTTTATGCCAGGCCATCCCAGACAGAAAATTCAGATTCTTCTTCCATGAAAAAAAAGTTGGACACATAGTGGCACATGCCTGCAATCTGAGCATGATGGGTAGCATAATTAGATGGATTTAGCCTCAAGTGGGTTACTGGTCAAGAAAAGAGACACCATTCTAAAAGTAGTAGGTGGAAAACAGGGCTGGAGGTGTGGCTCAACAGTATCCCACCTACCTAGCTACACAAGGTCATAGGCCCAAATCTTCAGTACTACCAGAAAACTCTGCTATGATGATGTTTAAAAATGAAATATTACCTAACCTATTTTAGATAATTGTCAATAAAATTAATGCTAACTACATGATTAATTAGGTAGATAATCTATATAGCACATAATGGAAAGCAATAAATTTGGCTAGAAGATAGCAGAAGTTTGCTTTGTCTGTCTGTATTTGGTAATAACAAGTGTAATACTGAAATCCATATACTATTAACTGTAAGAAAAAGGAGTTAAATTTTGGATTAGTATCTATTAATGCATTAGAAAAATAAGAGGTGTGATGTAACTTTGAGAGTTTCCGATTCTAAGACTTCAATGATCCTAAGACTTCAATGATCTAATCTCTCACCTGTTCTTAGTTACAACTAGTTTCTTGATCTGAATGGTAGATGCAATGGTGGCAGAGTATACAGTCCAGGTATTCTAATGTTTTTCCTCAGGAAACAATTGGAAAATAGGTAAGATTATATATCATAGTATTAAAAGGCGAGATAGAGTCAATAGAGACTAAATAGTTTGAGCAGCAAGAATAGTTCAAATAGGACTTGAACAGTACATAGATAGGCAAAGGGTAAGCTGAAGAGTATTGTAGTTCACATCTCGTTTACATATTTATGTAGATATGAAAATATCCAAGCTGAGAGTGATGGTACAAGACCATAATCCTAGCACATGGGAGGCATAGGCAGGAGTTTAAGGCCAGCCAGGGTTTACAATTCAAGATCAGCCTGGGCTATATAATGAGACTCTGACTCAAAACAAACAAGCAAAAACAAAAGCAGAAGAATAAAAAAGAAATAACAAATCTTAAATTCTACATCTAAACATTTTTCATTTTTGCATGAATATAGTATTAACTGACTGGATATGTTCTGATAATTATACATATTTCACAGATTTACTTGTTTTTAATTTCTATGCTTATACAACCACAAATGGAGAACTTTAATTTGGAACTATGTAGCATTAAACTTTCTACACATTTCCATAAAATTATGTAAAACACTTGTCAGTATTCAGGGAGAATACATGGTTTAACAAGTTTTCAATTTCCAGAAATATAAAATTATTATTAAAGCAGTACTGGAAGTTATTTTTGTCAATAAGCAAAGCTTTCAGGGTCATACTAAGACTTAAAACCAGATATATTCTTTTTTCAGATATTTTTATCCTCATCTAAAGATACTTTGTGACAACTGAAAAACTGCTGATTCAAGCTTAATATACTACTGGAAAATTCTCACTAAATTAGAAAGAAAATAGTTGCTAAAGAAACAATAAAAAATGGGAGTAAAAGATGAATAAAATGAAGAAAATATGAATGTCTCTTAACCTGTTACTGAATAATTTAGTTGGAATTTGGATATACAATTTACATATCAAGTCTAAATAGCTATAACGGAGGTAAGACTTTAAAAGATTAGGCTAGATATCTTTCAAAATGCAAAAATCAATAAAATTAAGTTGGAACATCAAAACATATCCTTTATACCGAACTCTTTGCTTTTGTACATTGTCTTTACTTATTTTAGTTTTGTGTCTCAGTAAAACATTCCCTTAACAACCTTTTTTTCTATACTTTGGATATAACAAATTTGCCACTGTAATCATTCTTCACAGTGCCTATACTCCTTGATACACATGAAAAGAGAGGTCAGATGGCAGTTTAAGTATGGAATTTATAAAAGAGCAACTGAGTCCAGCAAAGAAAAGTGAATTATCCTAGAGAGCTATGTTTTCTTGTGGATTTCCATATTAAACAAAAGGCCTTCTAGCAAAGTCATGGAATATCATACCATACTCTCTTGAACAGCAGGACTGCTGATAATCCCAAGTTTAGTAAGCCAAGCAAGTAAATACTTTCTGAAAAAGGAGTAAACATTTTTATTAAGTCATTCCAGTACCCTATACCTCTGTTTATTACATCATCTAAAGAAGATATTTTTTTCAAGCTCAGAGGCAATCTTATTACCTGTTTACAAACAGGTGATGACTTCTAATGAAACAAAGTCACTGATTTCTGAAAATCTGAAAAACAACTCTTAGAACAAGGCTTACTTTTTCAAGCCAGAAAATATTAAATCACATGATCATACCTGGTATCAACTTTATCTTAAAACCATTCGCTGTGAGACGAGGATCAGAGAGGTAAGTCGATCCACTGCATCTTTGGTTATTTGATGCCATTTTACATAAAATCTCTAAATAATGAGATCCGTTGAAAAGACTGAAAAAGAAATTATGGTACCTAAAGTTATTCAATATAATCAATTGAAATAAAGAAAATTTAAAGAAAAAAAAATCTCTCTAGGCTTTTTGAAAGTTTTCCTTTCGTAGGGGCTGGGAAGGTGGCTCAGTGGTAGAATGCATGCCTTGCATGCCAGAGGCCCTGGGTTCGATTCCTCAGCACCACATAAGCTAAAAGAAAAAAGCCGGAAGTGGCGTTGTGGCTCAAGTGGTAGAGCGCTAGCCTTGAGCTGAAGAGCTGAGGGACAGCACCCAGGCCCAGAGTTCAGTCCCCATGACCGGACCCAAAAAAAAGATGTAAGTAGTCCTACGAGAAAGTGGTTTAAATTCCTGTTAATAATTTACAGAAGACAAACTACCTACAGTGAACATATAGAAAGGAGAAACAGACAAAAATCCCGATTTCTGCCTTCTAGAGTGTTAAATGCTCTATGTGAAATTTAAAAAACAGTCCCCTAAACATAACACAAAACTACTTACAAATATCCTTTTATGACCTTAATCAGACAGAAGATATACTTTTAAAAGATAAAATAATATGTCAAGTTACTATAGTGGTATATTTTGTCAAATTTTAAATTGCTTCTCAAGGTTTCTTCAACATAAAAAATAGTAAACATACAACTTTTTCTCCTCAAAACTTGTATCTTTGGGAGTTGACCATTTCCCCATTCATTAAATGAATATCTATCTACCATATGGAACATATACAGTGGTACATAAGCACTGATTTATGTTCATTTTAACACTTTACCTCTTTAAAAAAGCTAATGGCAAATTATACAGCTTTCCTAATTGATTTCTTTCATTGCACTGTATCTGTGGTTGCAAAAAAAACAAACAAAAACCCTTTAGTCATTAGCTAGTTTACATCTGTGATTCTTATCTGCTCACTGTACTTAACACAGTGACTATGACAGGATGAAAAGTAATGATTACATTTTTTAACAACTTGTGTAAAAAAAGAAGAAAATGCAATTATGTCTTTGCTCATCAATTTTGTATGACTTCAAACTCCACTGAATGTGAGGAGTCACATATAAACTGTCACAAAGAGGAAATCTTTAACTATATATTAGATAAACTATGCCTCATCTATCCACATTCTGATAATCAGTCTGAGAGCTGGTAGTAATGAGAAGTAGGTACACACACACACACACACACACACACACACACACACACACACATACACACACACACACACACACACACACACACACACACACACACAATTTAAAAGCCTGTGTTTCAGTTTCCTCATCTATGAAATGTAGATGATAAAACCTGACTCACAAAATTGCAAAGTATCACACTGATGCTCAATAAGCATTAGTTACTACTGTATTTCTAAGCATTTATTTTGTATTTTACTAAGAAGTAAGCTACATAACTAACATTAGAATTCTAGTGAGTAGTCTGTACCCATACTTACTTTGCTACAATGATGAGATAATCAAAGAAGACTCAGTTTTGAAAAACTTGAAGCAGTAATTTTGAAAGAGGATACCACATTCCAGGAGGAGAAAACAATTATGTGTTTAAATTATGTGTTTGTTATATGCATGCTCAATTAAAAGTTTACTTTTAGGACAGTAGGGGTCTAAAATGTATTTGTTTTTGAGTAACAAATCTAACAGAAAAAAATTTAAGGTATAATTTGGACATGTACTTGAAAATCTAAATAAAAAATTATAAACACTATTCAGAAAAACAGTGGAGTGTAAAAATTCACCTGTGCTTGTTTTTGAGAATACAAAGTAGTACTATTAGGTCAGAAGCATACTGAAAAATATAAAAGAATTGTTATCAAAGACATTAGAAAGAAAAATACATGTGTGTGAGAAAGAAGAGATAAAGAAAATGTGGCAAAACCTTAATAACTGCTGATAAAAGCATTGTCTGTATAATTTTACTTTAGTGTATGTTTTAAAATGTTAAAGCATTACAAAATCAAAGAGGATCATTATAATCTAACTTCAAAATTGCTCCAGAGAAGTCACTAACATAAGGAGATACATATTTGATATTTACTGAATGTAGAAGTGTATTCTGAACTTAGGATACTAGATAGCATTCTTGTGTACTAGCAAAAGCAGTCTAAAATTCTTTATAAGTAATTAATTCCAGATATTAATCAATATGCAATAATAAGTTGCCCTGTGGGATTTAAACCCCTTCATACAACTACTTAAAATAAAAAAAAGAATTTAGCTAAAAAAAAACGTTTAAAAAGATTTCCTTAAATATCACTTGTTCTGAGTAAAAAACAGTTTTTAACTTTTACCTCCAATTTCTAATCTAGTATGCATAAACGTTCCTTCATCATACCTTTCTGTAAGTATAATTGGCTGGTCCAGCGGCTCTGCAGGAAGTTTATGATTCTCAAGAAGTCTTTTAAATAGCAGGGCTTCTTCTACCCTGTATGGATTCAGTAACATTACCTCTGTTTTAGATGCAACTAGCCATGCATCAGGAAACCTAAGATTGTGGATTAAGCAAAGTTCATCCTTCTCTTCTGAGTCAAACTCCTTTTGTTTCTCAAAGTTTATTTTTAAGTTTTCCATTGAAAAAGGTATCTCTATTATTTTAATATTTTTACTCCGTTTTTTTTCATTTTGGGACTGAAAGAGCTCATCAAGTTTTGGCTGATTAGACAATGAAGTTTTCAACTTGTGTTTCTGTGCCAAACTCCAGGTGCTGGTGGGTTTTATCTTTTTTCTGTTATCTTTTAATGACATTTGTGACTCTCGTTCAATGGCTTTCTTCATTTGAGTATTGTATCGTTCCAAATCTTTAGTTGCCTTTTCTTCATATCTAAAAATAGAAAAACTGATGTCATATTCAAATATACATTTATCAGATGGACATGAGTTGCTCACTCCTTTAATCCTAACTACTTATGAAGCTGAGATCTGAGAACTGCAGTTCAAAGAGAGCCCAGGCAGGAAAAGTCCATGAGATTCTTTTCTCCAATTAATCGCCAATAAGCCAGGAGTGGAGCTGTGACTCAAATGGTAGAGTGGTAACCTTCTGTGAAAAAGCTAAGGGACAGGGCCCAAACACAGTTCAAGCCCTAGTACTGGCTCAAAAAAAAAATCATCTAAAGAAAAATTTGTAAAAAACAAAGAACTGATACTCAAGGTCGAATAATGACAATGAAATGTCCATGGGGCTACCCCTCCTGTGTATAATTACATAAAATCTGAACAAAATATAAAAGCAAACTATTTAAAACTGGTACAGAAGAACAGTCAAAACCAGACAAATAGATTTATATTTGTATGTTTATCCAACTTGTAACCAGAGGACCAGCCCTAGAGTAAGAAGATAAGGAATGCCAAGAACTAAGTAAAAAAGCTGTTGAGTACTAGACTGAGTCATCAGAACACACAGCTACTTGCTTCTAGAACAACGTGAAATTGAGAGAAAATCCCAGAGAATCCCTTGTGTGGGAGCCTAGAGGAAACCAACATTTACAAGGCTAAATGAGCAGAACAGAGATTTCAACGGCTGCTCAGTACAGAGAAAATAAGAGTTTGAAATCTGAGTTACACATTGTGTTGTGGATTCATAAATGTTATGAGCTTCTAATTAAAATAGGAATAGTGCCACATTTTAGTTAAAATCTTGTCCTATGGAAGTGGTACTGGTGCTCAAGTGGTAGAGCTGGCCTTGAGCAAAAGAGCTCAAGGACAGCCCCCAGGCCCAGAGTTCAAGACCCAAGATTGAAGGAAACAAACACACAAACAAAAAATACTGTCCTAGAACTAAGAAAAATACTTTAAGACCCAGAACAAAATGCTTAGTCTTCCCAATAAAATGTAAAATAAAGCCCACAGCTTAAGGTGACCTATAACTTAAAAGTATGGAAGAACAAAAGTTGACACTTTTCAGAAGAAAAATATACAACTTTGAGTTTTAAGTAAATTATATACAATGTCCATTATACATGTAAAAGTTACCACTCAAGCAATAATACAGAAAAATTCAATGTCTTTAAAAGACTTATTTCAAGTAAGTACTTAAGAGTTTAAGATGACCCTTACAGGAGAGTTAAAGAGAATGGGGAAATCTGAACGGAGAAGTATTTTAAAAAAGAAAGATGGAAATTCCCGTGAACTAACAAACACAGTATCTGAAATGTGTTCATTAGGTAGCTTTAGAAGCAGATCAGAGATGGTAAACAATAACAACAACAAAATACCTCAAAACAAAAATACCAAAACAAATCAGGGGATGAGGGAAGAAGAAAAGACAAATGAATATCATTAGGAACAATTCAATTATTCAAATATTTCAATTTAAGTGTTTGAATTTCAACTCAAATATTTAATGTAGCAAAAAAAATAAAAAATTCAACATATACAGAAAAATATCCTTCAAAAAGATTAGGTATTTTCAGATAAAAGATATTTTTTGTCAGCATATCTAGCCAGGTATTCCTGGCTCAGGCCTGTAATCCTGTAATCAGGAAGCTAAGATCTAAGGATCAGGGTTTGAAGCCAGCCTGTGAGAATCTTATCTCCAATAAACTAGTCAGAAAAAGCTAGAGGTGGTGCTGTGGTTCAAGTGGTAGACTACTGGCCTTGAGTCAAAGAAGCTCAGGGACAGGACCAAGGCCTTGAGTTCAAGCAAAGAAAGAAAGAAAAAGAAAGAGAGAGAGAGCGAGGGAAGGAAGGAAGGAAGGAAGGAAGGAAGGAAGGAAGGAAGGAAGGAAGGAAGGAAGGAAGGAAGGAAGGAAAGAAGGTTGGTTGGAAGGAAAGAAAGAAAGAAGAAAAGAGAAAAAGAAAGAAGGAAGGAAGTATGGAAGAAAGGGAGGGAGGGAGGAAAGAATGGAAGAAAGGAAAGAGGGAGGAAGAGACAAAGAGAAAGGAAGAGAGAGGGAGAAAGAGAGGGAGAAAGGGAGAAAGAAACAGACAGGAGGAGAGCAAGAAAGAGAGAGACCGAGAGAGAAAAAGAGTATCAAACGTAAGTGGAAATATACTTACTGGGTTTCTACATTTTATGTGAGATGGCACATTACTAACACTAAGTAGACTATGATAAATGTATTTATTAGTGAAGAAAAACAATTTAAAATTAATAGAACAATTAAAATTAGATGCTAAAGTATATTCACTGGACCCCTCCCCTCTTTCTCTCAAAAAAGAAAAAACAGAACAAAACATATGGGATAAACATAAAACTAACAGGAAAATGCTACATTTAAATCAATGATAACAATGTTTAGGGTTACATAAATATTCCAATTAAAACAGATTTAGTCAAAAGCCAACTTTTATGTGTCTACAATAGTTACACTTTTATAAGACAAAGTGTAAAAGAATAAATAAAAATACAGAGGCCAGGCTTGATAGCTCCTACCTATAATCTCAGTTACTAGGGAGGTAGGGATAGGAAGAATAAAGAGGCCAATCTGGGCAAAAAATTAGGAAGACTCCATTTCAAAAACTGAGACTTCATCTCAACCAATCAGTAAGCCAGGTGTGGTGGACACAGACCACAGGGACACAGGCTTGTGTCCCTGAACCCACCCACTTGGGAGGCTGTAGGTAGATGACTGCTGGCTGTGGTCAAGTCCCTAGGTGATATTCCAGATGCTTGAGTTAGCCCCCAGAATTGTGAATTACCCCTCACAACAGTCTTCAACCTCCTCATTCTTTCATATTTTCTCACCCTGATGTCTGGATGGAAGCAGCCTATCAGTCTTTCCTGACATTAAACTTTTCCTTCCTTGGACATGTGTGGTATGCGTTATTTGACTGCCATCTAAGTCCCACTCTAAGCAAAAACACAACCCTATACCTGAAAAATAGCTACTGGGAACAGGGCTGAAGAGGTAGCACATCTACCTTGCAAGCACAAGGCTCTGTGAGTTTAAACCCCAGAATACCTTCCCTCCCCGAAACAAAAAGGAAAGTAAAAACAGAAACAGATGTTTACTATTAGGGAGGTATGATGACAAAAGGGATTACTAAAATCACAAATGTGTATGTACCTAATATACATAGCTTCCAATTATACTAAACAAAACCTCTAAAATTTAAAGGTAGAAAATTCCAGAATAAGAGTTGGCAATACTAATACCCTCTTCCCTCAGTGATTGAACTAGACCCCCCAAAAGCTGTCACTGAATTTACAGATTCTAACAACATTTCAACCATTTCAAATTAATTAAATACTCTTTTAGAATACTATTGTGTAGCCATTATGACATTACAGGTTCTGGGCCCACCCTGCCCCCACCCATACTGGGGGTTGAACTGCTTGCTTAGGTAAGCGCTCTAACAAGCCACACTCCAGTCCCTTTTTTTTTTGGGTCCAGTTGTGGGGCCTGAACTCTGGGCCTGGGCGCTGTCCCTCAGCTCTTCAGCTCAAGGCTAGCGCTCTACCACTTGAGCCTCAGGGCCACTTCCGGCTTATTTTTTTCTTTTTGCTTATGTGGTGCTGGGAATCGAACCCAGGGCCTCAGGCATGCAAGGCAAGCGCTCTACCACTGAGCCACCTTCCCAGACCCTCCAGTCCCTTTTTAACACTGCTTTTTGCCTAGCTGGCCTAGGCTATGCCCCTCCTATTTGTGTCCTTGGAAAGGACAGGCCTGTCCCGCTGAGACCATCACTGTGCATTTCCACAGCTGGGATAGCAGGTATGTGACACCATGCCCAGTTATTTGTTGAAATAGAGTGTTGTGAATGTTTTTGCCTGGGCTGGCTTCAAACATAAGATTCCCCAATCTCTGCCTCCCAAGTAGTTAGGATTATAGGCTTGAACCATGTACATTGAAGTTTACATGGAACATCCAATAAAAGATCAAACATTCATAAAGAATAAAATCTATGACATTTTCTCTGTTGATGTTAAACTGGAAATCAGAAATTTATTTAGAAAAGCCCTAAATATTTAGTTTGTAAAAAATAGAATTTTACTAATAGTAGTCACAAACTGAAAATTCAAAGACCCATGAATTAGAAAGTGATTGAAAAAATTTTGGAATGCTTACAAAACTGAATATTCCTCCCTGGTTTAAAAATTAATGATTAATCACAAAATATTTTGTTGAGAAGTCAAATACATAATTATTTATACATGAATTTTAACTACTGGTAAAACAAAGTAGTATAACAGAAAGCAAAACTATAGTTGTAAGCTGGGTGCTGGTGGCTCATGTCAGTAATCCTAGCTCCAACTAGAGGCTGAGATATTAGGATCAGAGTTCAAAGCTGCTTGAGCAGGAAAGTCTGTGAGACTCTTAATTCCAGTTAACCACCAAAAAGCCATAAGCAGAGCTGTGGCTCAGGTGGTAGAGTTCTATCCTTGAGCAAAAAAGAAGCCCATGCATAGTGCCAGGGCCCTGAGATCAAGCCCAGGACTGCAGCAGCAGTAGCAGCAGCAGCAGCAGCAGCAACAACAAACTGTGATTATCTGTGGAACCTACCTGAGATGTACCAGGAGAGGCTTTTTTTTTTTTAGGAGAGGTTTTTATAGAGTGATGATCTATACTTTATTAGAGATTTTTTTGAATAAATTTATATATTTATGTTGGGGAATAGGCATTCAAAAAGAAAAATATGTAACACTAATATGGAATACATACTACCAAAGGCAAATTTACATAGATTAATACTGTAGTTAGTACATACTAATAAAAATTTCATGGGCTGGGAAGGTAGCTCAGTGGTAGAGCGCTTGCCTTGCATGCATGAGGCCCTGGGTTCGATTCCTCAGCACCACATAAGCAAAAAGAAAAGAGCCGGAAGTGGCGCTGTGGCTCAAGTGGTAGAGTGCTAGCCTTGAGCTGAAGAGCTGAGGGACAG